ATATGGGATCCGAACCCGGGGCCTTGGTGTTATCAGCATCACACTCTCCCGAGTGAGCCACGGGCCGGCCCTGGAGTGAGACTTTAGACGTAGAACATATTGTTAGTAAATAAGTGATTTATTCATTTGCAAAGTATTTATTAAGCGTGATTATGCATCAGGTATTGTGGTTATCGTTGGGGATACACTGGTAAATAACACAGACGGTGAAATATAAAACTGACTAATTCCTTCTGTGTGACCCTGGGCAAGTCATTTCACCTGGGAACATCAATCTACAACCTAGGAAAGTTCCAAGATCCTTCCAACTCAACCATCCTATGGTTCCCTAACATTATTCATTCCACATATGTGTATAAAGCACATGCTTTGCACACAAGTGTGTTATTTTCCAATCCAAGTAAAAACACATGGCAAAGGGCTATTTCCTGGTTTGGGGGTTGATACAGAAAGTCTTAAAAATGTGTAAACACTAAGTTAGAATTACATATTCAATAAATCACCTCTATTAAAAAGCACAAAATAATAAGAAATAAAAACTAGGCAAGGAGATTTATCATGTTACAATCATCATGCACTAGAATTTGGTTTAAATCAACCAAAAAGACATGGTCTGAATTTGGTTTAAAATCAACAGGACATGATCTAAGAGAAAATTACGTGGATAACTAATTAGAACTAACAGTAGCGAGTGCTGTAATCATAGAGGTAGATAATGTCCATTATCAGAAAAGCCATTGATTCAGCAGTTTCCACTTCCTCTTCTTGCCCTCCCCAACTCATAGCGGCTGAGTCACGAGTATGAATAGGGTTCTCTGAGAAGTGAGTGGGGGAATGCAATTCAGGGTTTCAATGCAGGGCTGCAAGAAAGAGAGGGTGGGGTGAGAAGAGGTCATCATCTGTGATGCAGAGTTTCTACCGAAACAAGTGTAGAAATGCCTTTATTGGGAATTAATAGCAATATGGGAAGACAGTTCAAAGCCAAAGCCCCAGCAAAACCTACCTTTGCCCTGATCTTGCCTTTGCTTCACCTCCCTCACAAATCAGCAATCACAGGGATAGGATGGAAACAGAGCCCATGTGTTTTAAAAGAAGGAACTATGCAGGCACGCAGGAAGGACAGGATTCCTAGTTGTGGTCTTGCTTTGCTTGGGTCTGATGTCCTCCATTGTTCCTGGTATCTAACATATCACCTCCAACCCCTTTTTGGGGAATTTGAGGCCCTTCCTGGTCTGGCCTGAGTTTAGCTTCATCATGCATAGGCCCCCCACTGCTCTGCAGCTCCACCAAACTGTTCATTCTTCCCTCAGAGCCTGCATTTCACCCCGGACTCTGAATCAACTGCCCTCTACCCCCACCCCATCTATGTATGTCCAAGTCCTGTGTAGTTTTCAAGACCTAACCAGAGCTCCATCCCTTCTAGGAAGCCTTCCGAGATCCTCCTGTGCAAGGTCTTCCTCCTCATGGTGTTCTGAGTCTCAGCACTTCTTGCTAAGTGCTGTAATTACCTGTTCGCCTACCCTACCTGCCCCTACTAGGTGGAGGGCATCTGGAGGACAAAACCATTCAAAAGAACTAAGTCTATTTCTCATTATAAAATGTGATGTATGCTTATTAATTATAAAATAATGAAATAATAAAGGATGGAAAAGAAAAGAACGTATAGATCTGACTGAGAAGGTTGACCCTTTCACACCACTGAGATTATGCATTGAAAAGAATAAGAAAAGAAAACGACTTCATTTGGCATTATTTATGTAAATATTGTATAATATCCTAAAAATTGCTCAGAGACATGGGAAATCAAGACTTAATTTTAGCAAAGGCCATTAGACAGAAACTTTAGTGTATTTACCAAATGTTTCTTTCAAATTAAACAGTTGACACCATCCTACTTTTCAACCAATGATGCTGTAAATGTCTTAAAACAAAATTTGTTCATAAATTCATGGGCTGACCAGGAAAGTCATCCAATCTCATTACATAAAATGAGAAAAATCTAGAAAAAAAAGAGAAAAGAAGATTAATCACCCATAGATCTACCACACAAATATAAGCACTATTAGTTCTTTAGGACATTTTTTTCCAACGCTTTGTATTGTGTTCATGCCTAGGGTTTGGCGTGGAAAAATACACATTTGTCTATTTGTACAATTGTTCATTTTGAACAATTTGTACAATTTTTTATCTTGCTTTTTTTTTTTTTACCACTGATGTTATCAGTATATTTATGCCATTCACTTTATTTGTTCCAAGGGCTTAATAGTAAACAATACGGTGTTATACCATAATTTACTCTATCATCCTCTGATAGTGGAAAATGTACATTTTCTTATTTTAGAGCTGTAAGTGATGCTGGGTCAGATATCTTTGTTTGATGATGACTCCATATTGGGGCTGTTTCCACAGAACTCTTTCCTAGAAGTGTTTCTTCTAGGTAGTGGGTATAAATATTTTTAGGCTCCTGACTTACTGACACCCACGTGGAAAGTATCTTTATGATCCACAACTGGTGTTTAACCCAGTGCCCTAGTCACTCTGTGACTGTTTGATGAGTGGACAAGTGACTGAAACATGACCTCAGGGTTCCTGTTCTTCCAGCTGGGGATCCCTTAATTCACCTCCTCACATCCGGGGGAGTTTGTGCTACTCTCCACAGCATAAGCATATCTACCCCATCCATGTAGTCAGAGCATCTCAGGAAGCAGAGTTTCAGCTCGGTGGGAAGGACCGGGGCTGGAGATTCATGCAAAAACCCATTCTGATGAGAAGGGACCAGTTAAGAATAGCCCTGGGTTGACACACACCCCTCTCCTCCTGCTCACGTGGGAAACCATTTCCCCAGAAGAAGCCAGAACAAGTCACGAATTGAGAGCTGGGACTTATAGCTCAACGATGCTATTCTTGGATATCCTGAGACTCTGTGGTTGTCAGGGACCCTGCGTTGTGCAACGCTCAGCATGACAGCACCACTATGCTTAAAAATTTCCCTCCTCACCCCCAGATTCCATTTCCCCATCCGCCACGGCTGCCTATAAAGAGAGGAGGAGATGGCTCCGGACTCCAGAAGCACGCAGGCCGCAGCGGGTGCCCAGTCCCTCGTTGGCTCTCCGGACACTGAAGCCCACATTCCATCATCTGCTCAGCACCATGAAGGTCCCCAAGGCTGCCATTGCTGTCCTCCTCTGCACCATGGCTCTCTGCAACCAGGTCTTCTCTGCACCATGTGAGTCCGTGTTGTTGTTGTGAGTGTCCCCACTCTGGCCATGGTTAGACCACATCTATCTTTTCTTGTGGCTAGGAAAAAAGAGAGAGCTTCTTAAAGGGCTACACAATCTCTTGGTCTTCAAGACTTTTATTTTCTTCTTTGTAAGGGGTCTTATCTCTCTTAGTCCCCAGATCTGAGAGTTGGGGTGGGGGTAGCGGAGTCACTATGCCCTGTACAGACAGGAAGCAGGGTCCTAAATGGATGCGTGTGCAAGAGGCAGAGTCCAGGTCTAGCCACTTCCTAGAGGTCATTCATTCACCAGCTCACCTTCGGTCTCCCCAGGAGCTCTGTCACTTGGATATCTTATGAGAGATGTCCAAAGCTTCTCTTTTGCTGGGGTATGACTTCTTGAACCAGACAAAATTCCCTGAAGCGGGAATAGATATGCACAGTCTGCATAGATATCTGTATCACACAGAGCAAGAAGAGCCCACAGTGAAGAGTCAAAGAGAAAGAAGAATGTAAGACAGAAACAAAGGCAGAGACAGGGACACTTCTGGGCAAATGCCCAAACTCCTTCCAGTGACCGGGTCTCCCAGCCCCCACCCTGAGCACGGCTGTCTTCCTCACCCTCTCAGGGATCAGATGTTGGCTGGCCTTTTCTTGTGAACTATGATTCAGGCTCACTCTGTCCCTTCCTCTACAGTTGGTGCTGACACCCCAACCGCCTGCTGCTTCTCCTACATCAACCGGCAGATTCCACGCAAATTCATAGGTGATTACTTTGAGACCAGCAGCCAGTGCTCCAAGCCAGGTGTCATGTAAGTGCCTACAGTCTTCTTGCCCACCTTTGGGGAGGCAGGGAGGCTCTGAGCAGGGGGCAACCAGGCACAGACAGGCCAGAAAAGCCATCCTGGAAAGGTCCAGCCTCCTGGGGCCTATCAAGTCTGCAGGACCCAGGTCTCCAAGGTGTGACCTGTCTTGGGGGTGAGGGGGGGCATGTTACAGAGTCAGAGAGGACTGCCCAGCCTAGAGGGAAGGACGGGGAGAAGGTAGCACAGGATCCTCCGAGAGGTCCCCTTGAGTCAGTGAGAGAAGTTCTCCAGACTGAGATAGGAGCAGACCCCTGGGAAAGTGGGCAGCCCTGAGCTGCCCAGGACAGGGAGAAGGAGGGAGGGGCCACAGGACTCCCCTGCTGGATTCCCCAGCATTTAATCCTTCCACCCCTCTCCACAGCTTCCAAACCAAGAGAGGCCGGCAGGTCTGTGCTGACCCCAGTGAGGCCTGGGTCCAGGAATACATCACTGACCTGGAGCTGAATGCCTGAGTGGCCTGGAAGCTGCGAGGGAAACAGTGACTCCAGCAGGCCCAGTGGGGAGCAGGGACCTGACCTCAGAAACATCCCCATCACCTCCACTGCTACCTCTCCTATGGGCTGGCTGTTACCAGACAGCCATACCTGGGGACTCTTCTTAACTTAAATGCTAATTTATTTATATATTTAATTTTCTAAATTATTTTCAATGTCATACTGTGTTTGTGACTGCTCTGAGATATCCCAGGGCACTGTCCTCACCACCCATCCCCTCCCCTTCACTCACACTGTGACTGGTGACAACTGAATGGCTGTCAGCAGCTGTTCTAGCAGACACTCAAGCTGCCAGACTGACAAACATATATTGAATGCTTTTGTTCAGTGCTCTGTTCAGCCCAGTGAAATAATAAAGATGCTCTTTTTAAAAGTAAACTGGCATTGAGTTTGGTTTTGTTTTTTCTGGCAAATCACTGGCGAAGAGAAATAATAGGCAAAGAATAGGAAGATTGAAATGGGGGCAAGTTGGGAGAGATGGAAGTCGGGGCTACCACAGAGCTGCTCCACTTTACACTGGAGGCACAGTTCTGGAGCATCGAAACTATGAATATCTTACATGTCAAATTATAATGTACTTGCTCTGGGGAAATTCTCTACCTGAATGGATACCATTAAGCAGAGTATTCTGTAGTACCTATTTATGATAGACCAAGCTTTCTTAATAATAATCGCTAACATTTTTAAGGCTTGTGCTAGGCTGAGTGTTTTCTATGAATTTTCATTTAATCCTACCAGTGCAATAGTACAGCTTATGTACTATTAATATCCCCATTTGAAAGAAAAGTAAACCGGATTCAGAAAAGTTAAGCAACTTGGAAGATCACGCAGCATGAAAATTGTAAATTGACTTTTGCAAACTAGACTTTTATTTAACTACAGACTATGCTCTTACCCACTGACCAAGTTATTTCCCAAAACGTGATCTACCTATACCCAAATCACAAGCAATGATTGTTTAAGCCACTCATATAGCATCTTTAGGTTTGGGCCCAGGAATTGATGTTTTTACCAAGCTCATCAGGTGTTGCACAAGCATGTTTATGGCTGAGAACCACTGAACTAGTCAATAGGATTCGCCACTCTCTTCCAAACGTGGTATGTATCTGTGTATGGTGACAGGTGTACTGTACATTATTTCTCTAGAATCCATGCTCCACAAAATAAATGGCTAATGTTAGAGAAGGAAAAGACAACCAGCCTCTATGAGGAGAAGAATTCTGTTTCTAGGTTTACTATGAAAGGTAAGTCATTTAATAGATGAATTGCCTGAGTTATAATTATAAGTACAGGAAATGTGCACTGAATGATATAGTTTGGATATGTCATCCCCTCAAAGCCCTTGTTGAAATCTGATCCCCGATGTGGCAGTGTTGGGAGCTTTTTGGGTCATGGGGTATGGATCCCTCATGAATAGATAAATGCCCTGGGGGAGTGGGTAGTGAGTGAGTTCTTGCTGTATTAGTTCCTGTGAGAGCTTATTGTTAAAAGGAGCCTGGTACCTCCCCTCCCTCTCTCTCTCTTGCTTCCTCTCACCATGTGATCTCCTTGCACTCGCTGGATTCCCTGCTTGTTTTCCTCCATGAGTAGAAGCAGCCTGAGGCCTGCGCCAAACGCAGCTGTCCCAGAATCATAAGCCAAATAAACCTCTTTTCTTTATAAACTACCTAGTCTCATGTATTCTGTTATAGCAACACAAAAATGGACTAATACACTGAGCTAGGGTCCTTTCTGCAGAAGGAGACAGTCAAAAGACTTGTGTGAAAACCAAATGTGTATTGTTTTTGAGCCATGATTATTTCATCTTGTTTAAAATAATCTAATTTTTGTATCAAAAATTGTTTAAAATCATACTGATCAAACTCTTTAAAGTGCAATTAAACACCATTATTTAGCAAATATTAAAAAGCACATACTATTTGACTTGCATCTATTTGACCGGATCCTATTTCTAGGAATTTAATTTATGGACACACCACCAAAAGACAGGAATATGAATAGGCACAAGAATATTCTTTGCAGCGTGGCTGGTAAAAAGCACACAAATAGAAACAATCATCAGCAGGAAATTAAATTAGTAGAGGATTAAGATGCCCATCAATGGAATATTCTGCAGTCAGTAAAAAGGGTAATTCACATCTATATCTATGGAAAGTGCCCATAATGTTATCAGCAAGAGTTACATCTATTTACAACTAGTATATGTGTATATACTCTACATATATGCTACAGAACTTTATGTATAGACTATTAGTTTTGTTTTTATTTTTAAAAGCCATCTATACATATGCAAATTTTGAAAAGATACACATTAAATAGCTAACTGTAGGTTCTTAGAGAAAATGGGAATTTTTTAGGAATAAGTATTGTTCCTTTTTCTTTTGTGCACTTTTTAAATTTGATCTATTTTTCATTGAGCTTGTATTGCTTACCTGTCTGGTCCCCAGCTACCCTAACCGACCCTTTGAGGATGATATTCCATCTGTTGGAACCACTTTCTGGCCAGGATTCTGCGTTGGCACAGAGAGGACAGAGCTCAGCAGGCTTGCAGAGCTTTGAGGCCATGATGGCTTTTGTATACTGAAAGCAGAGCAACAAACAAGTCCTTTCAACCAAGGCCTTCACATCACACACACGCTCATACGAAGCTTCTCCCATGCGACACTTTACAATCCTCTTCCATTACAGGGGGCCCCATTCCCCTACACCATTCCCACCTACACCTGTGATAAGCGTGAAGATACTCTCAGGAGAACAGAAGAGCAGCCTTTGTCCTAAGTGAAGATGTCACCATTTCTTTCTTTCTTTTTTTTTTTGGTGGCTGGCCGGTACAGTGATCTGAACTCTTGACCTTGGTGTTATAACACCATGCTCTGACCCACTGAGCTAACCAGCCAGCTCTGCCATTTCTTCTTTATTGGCTTTTGGCATCTCGGGTCATAAAAAAACCTGCCTGTTTGCAGTGAACTGTTTCTCAAAGTCCAGCAGCACAAATCTAAATGAGAAGCTTAACCATGCTCCATATCCCCTAAATACAAGTGAACCAACATAGTACCTAGGACAGAAACCTCTGTTAGGGAAAAGGGAGAATGGGAATTGCATTGTTAATCAGTTCCTAGAGCCTTTCAGAATCTGAGACTCAGTTGAGACCCTGGACAGCCCCTCTGGCAGTTCCTAGCTCTCCTCTCTGGGGGTGTCCTCCATGGACACATCTGAGCTGTGCACTGCGGAGGATCTGCTTTCTGGGGGCTCTCTACTTCCTGTCTGTGTGAGTTAGGAACCTGAGGTTTGTCTTAGGTGTTAAGCAATCAACGGCTGCTTTGGGCCAGTCTCGTGGTTTCTTTGGCAATGTAACTCCCTTCTAATGACAGTAGACTTCTGGTCTATTAGCTTCTGATCAGTTCTGCAAGCTAGATAACCAAAAGCAAAGTGATTGTCCAGTTATACATTTTGCATTTTAACAGGGGTTGGGAATGTGCACCTCCCAGCACAGACCTCAATACTGTAGTCGGCCCCACTGCCTAGCCCCCTGTGAGAGACTGCGGCCTCCTTTCTGGACCCTGCAGAGATGTGGGGCCACATGTGGAGGTGATGAATATTCAACCCTTGGCCCGAAGCCACATCCTCTCTGCTCCTGCATGGAGAGCTGATTGTCTGCTTTAAGTAAGGAAGATAAATAGTCATAGAAAAGGGTGAGGAGGGGCAGCTGACTATAGTTAGGGCTGCAGTTGGACCCAGGTTTATCTACTGTTAAGTCTCTCATCTCCCTGTCTCTGCTCATATTAACTTTATCTTAGAGTAGAAAATTCTGCTTTTACATCCCTTTGAGACTCCAGATTACTGGGATGTCAATCAGTAAGCTGAAAAGGGCTTTCTTAGCAAAGCTGAATTTTTCCTTTTCCAATTTCAGATAAGCCCATGTCAAAGTAGCTTAAACTTTTTCTTCAAAGACTTTGCTAATAGGGCCGGCCCGGTGGCGCACTGCTACAGTGCGCCGCTTGGGAGCACGGCGGCGCTCCTGCCAAGGGTTTGGATCCTACATACAGACCGGTTCCCGCTCACTGGCTGAGCAAGGTGTGGCCGCAACGCCGAGGGTTGCGATCCGTTGCCAGACATGAAAAAAGACAAAAAGGAAAAAAAAAAAAAAGACTTTGCTAATAAAATCAAGAAGTAGCTATTTTCCTATCAAATGTCATAATGCTGCAGGCTTAGTATTTGGCCCAGCGCCTTAATACAAGATATGGTAGACCACAGTTCAACCGGCAGCTGCAATACCTTGTAATGGGTGCCTGGACAGCAGCCCCCTTCCGCCCTTTAGGGTGTAGGGCCTAGCTAGCAATCTGTGTTTTAGCAAGGCTCTAGGTAATTCTGATGCACACCAAAGTTTAAAAACTACTTCCACTTAACCAAGTCCTCACCAAATTCCCTCCCATTTTTCAGTTCAGCCAATTCCACACTTCAGTCAGGGCCTGTGACTTTCAACAAACCCTGCACCTCTGTTCATATACAGATCTCTGTATTTCTCAGGATGCTGGTGGTTTCCAGGAGTTAAACAAACAAGCAAACCTAACTCAAAGAGGCTAGAATAAGTGAACCTTGTGGCTCCAGGACTGTGGGGCTCGGAGGTGGCCCTGGCTCCAGGTGAGGCTGGGTGCAGCAGCCCTCAGCATCCCACACATCCTGCTGCTTCAGTTTCTGGTCTCCCTCCCATGGGACATTCCCAGGGAGACTGTGGTACCTGCCCATGTTACATGAACCTTTGTTCATTTTTTGAAGGGAAGAGTGAGTCTGTGTCCCCATTGGAAAAAAAAAAATTACTAGGTTCTTTCGGATTTGACTGACTTAGGAACTCAATTCCTAATCAGTCACTGTGGTTCTGGGGATGAGTTTCATTGATTTGCTTAAGTTAATCAAGGCACATACCTGAATCTGTGGGTTGGATGAATTTCACATCAACATAAAGTCTGGGAATTATGGGGAAGAATGATTTTCCAAAGGAAATGTGTGCTTCTGGTATCAGGAAAAATGTCAGATGCTGGTCCAGAAAAACATGTTTTAACTATAATATGTTTGTCTTATTTCTATTTTTTTTTTTATTAATGTATGAAGAGCACTAGCACTTCGTATATGCAGAACATTTCTTCTCCTTTGCTCCCTGGATTAGAAACCATTGGTCTTCCACCTTCCTGAATTATTTTATTTTTGAGAAGGTGCTGACATGTATTTCCTGTTGCCCTAAAAATGACTATTGCCCCTATTTGAGGATAAAGAGACGTTAAGCTCTTTGTGGTATCGGGGTAACCACCAGAAAATGGGGCCACATACCACTCTAGAACATGCTAAGAGAAGCAGAACTGGCCCTGCCACA